CCAGTGCCGTGTGCCCGGTGCCGGTGTCCTTCCCTGTGCCGCTGCCCCGCCGGTGCCGGTATCCTGCTGGTGCCAGTGTCCCGCCTCCTCCCGCCGTGACCGCGCTCTCTCCGCAGGGCCACAGCAGCCCGGTGACCTGCCTGGACTTCAGCAGCAACGGGAAGTACCTGGCGTCGTGCTCCGAGGACCGCACGGTGCGGCTGTGGAGCACCCGGGACCTGGCGGGGCGGGAGCACCGCTGCCTGCGCGCCAACGTGGGGCTGGACCACGCCGAGCTCGTCCGCCTCAGCCCCGACTCACGGTACGGACGGGCCTCGTGCTGGCACGGGGGTGTCCTGCGGAGGCACCAATCCCACAGCCAGGCCTTGCTGGCATCAGTGGTATGTGCCCTGGGATGCGTGGAGGCAGTGTTTGTCACTGGGTCATCACTGTAACCACTGATCCGTGGCCTTTCCTGAAGGCAGCTGGCACGGAATCACAAAACCACAACAGTCAGGGTTGGAAGGGACCTCTGGAGATCATGCAGTACAACCCCTGATGGGTTAATGTTGTTGTTGGGGCAAATATCCCAGTGCCCTGCATGACCATGGAAATGCCATTGAGGTCTCTGCCAGCTGGGATGTGCTGCTGAGCCTCTCCAGTGGGCTCAGGAGATCTTGCTGGGTGGGAAAGTTGGTGGGAAAGCATGTCTTGGCTCCTTGTGAAGTGGCTTCTTTTAGAAAGAGGAAAGCATCTCATTTCCAGGTGTAATAAATTCTGTTCTTTTCCATTCAGTGTTGCAGTGGGGCCAACACAGGGAGAGAACTTGGTGCCCTCATAAAGCTTTTTACCTGCCAGTGTATCCCTCTCCCCAGGTGGCCCTGAGTGACCTGGGCTGAGCTGGGGATCAGGACCTGTCCCTTCACAGGGCTTTCATTGTCTGGCTGGCAAATGCCGAGACTATTCGTGTCTACAAGATGACCAAGAAGGACGATGGGAGCTTCACCTTCACCGCAAGTTCTGGGGACTTCCCAAAGAAGCACAAAGCTCCCGTCATTAACATAGGGATTGCAGAGACAGGTATGGAAATGAGCTGCTCAGCTGTCCAGGTTGGCTTTGATTTCCTTGTGAAGCTGCTGGGTTCAAAGTGTTGGAGTTTTTGGCATTCTGAAGGCTGTGCTCAGCCCCAGTACTTGACTCTCTGTAGTCTCTTAGGGTTCTTTTTTTATTTAATTTACTCCTGAGTGAACTAAAAGGTGTCATTTTCAGACCCATTCTGTCCCTGTAACCAGCTCCCCGATATGCACAGTCTCTTAATTTACATTTTCAGGGATGCTGTTGCAAAGAGGTCTGGTCTCAATATTGAGAGGATCGCTGTTCTCTGGCCCACCAGTCTCTCTTTAACCAGTCAGAAATCTCTCTAGTGAGTTCTTATGATCTGTCTTGAACTTCTGGGATCACCTAGAACAGAGGTGAGGGTGGGTGGGTGGGAATTCTGTGTTGGTGGTGAGGGCTTGATGGATTAATGCTTCAGGTACGTGACAGCAGATGAATGTGAATTCACCTCTGTAACAGGAGAGCAGGGAAAATGTTAACTGAGACCTTTGTTCAGCTGTGAAAGTGAAAACTTAAACCTGCAACAAGTAGCTGAAAGGTAAACAGGCAACTCCCTGCCTGGGCTGAGGTGGCACTGGGGAAGTGGGAACAAGCAGGAGTCCAACATGGACACAACCAGTAACCATGGGTGGTGCTGGTGTGACTGGGATCCAGCTGCCTGCCCACAATCCATGGCTGATCCTCGAGCTGGTTTTAGGCACGCAGGGCAGATGGAATGTGCTGTGTTCCTGCTGTGGCACAGCCCGTGCTGAGCTCTGCAGGGGCTGAGGGTGCTGAGCGAGGGGCACGTGTGGGCCCAGTGCCAAAAGCTAAAGGAGGACTAAGGCATAACCAGGAGCTGAGTCTTCTGATTGACCCTCCTTGGATTTTGGTGCTGCTTTTGGTTTTCTCCAGCTGCAGGGAGAGGTTGTGCTGGGGCTTCAATGGGTCTCTGGCCGTGTTAGGTCTGGGACCTCTCCCGATCTTTGCCTTTTTCCCCCAGGAAAGTTTATCATGACAGCTTCCAGTGACACCACCATCCTGATCTGGAGCCCAAAGGGAGAAGTCCTGTCCAGCATTAACACCAACCAGATGAACAATGCCTACGCCACGGTGTCACCCTGTGGGAGGTGAGGGACAGGAGGGATTCCGGGCTAATCCCGCTGCAGGAGCAGCTGGGAACCTCACTCCTTCCCACAGGACATCATCAGTTCAGACCATCAGCAGTTAGTTGTTATTGTAATGCAGTTTTCTGAGGGTTCCACAGTTTTAAAAAGGGATTTTGCCCTCTGGGATGTGGAGCTGATGTGGGCTCAGACACGGTGTGTTACTGTTGTGCCTCAGCGCTGCTGTTCTGGTAACCTGAGAACAGCTTTGGCCTCAGGTAGCAGAGATGGGACAGAGCAAACAGCCTATGCAAAGCAAACAGCATTTTGAACTTGTTTGTAAGCTCTTAAAGGTTAATTATAAAGCTAAAGTCTTTATTTCTGGGAGATCTGTTTATCAGGAAAATCTTGTTCTCTGCTCTGTCTCTAACCTGTCGCTGCAGGATGATTTGCCTTGCTCCAGGCTCAGGGAGTTTGGGGATCATAAGCATTGAACTCTTTTGCTTTGGCCTGAGAATTTCTCATTCCTGAGTTGTTCTGGTGCCCTTCCTTAGCATTCCCTTTACCAGCAGGGTTTCAGAGACAAGTGAAAACTTTCCCAGCTGACCAAAGATTTGAGTGGAGGAGTCAGGACAGGTTTGCAGAGCACTGGCCCTGCCTTGCTCAGGTGCTCTGTAACAGGTACCCTGTGTCTCTGCTTGTTCCTTCACACAGGTTTGTGGCATCCTGTGGCTTTACCCCTGATGTGAAGGTGTGGGAGGTGTGTTTTGGCAAGAATGGAGAATTCCGAGAGGTGACCAGGGCTTTTGAGTTGAAGGGCCATACTGCTGGGGTACATTCCTTCTCCTTCTCCAACGACTCGAGGAGGTGAGTGTGTGTTATCCCACACAGCCCGCTCTGGATCACCCTTAGGACACAGCTCACCCCCTCTAGGGTTCCCCAGCTGCACCCCTGAGCTGGGAGGGGTAAAACACTGCCCTGGGAGGCCAAAACTGGCTCGTGCCACCTGTATATTCCCTGCCTATGGGAATCTCATGTGATTTAACAAGACCAAGTGCTGGTGCTGCACCTGGGTCAGGGCAATCCCTGGGATCAGTCCGGGCTGGGGATAAGCAGATGGAGCAGCCTTGGGGAGAAGGACTTAGGGGAGAGGCTGGACATGACCCAACCCTGTGCCCCGGGCTGATCCCACAGCATGGGCAGCAGGGGAGGGGAGAATTCTGCCCCTCTGCTCCCTCAAGTGAGACCCCCCCCATGCAGAGCTGCTTCCAGCCCTGGGGACCCAGCACAGGATGGACATGGACCTGTTGGAGCTAGTCCAGAGGAGGCACCAAGATGATCAGAGGGATGGAGCACCTCTGCTGTGAGGAGAGGCTGAGGGAATTCGGGTTGTTCAGCCTGGAGAAGAGAAGGCTTTGGGGTGACCCAGTTGTGGCCTTCCAATACCTGAAGGGAGCTGAGAAGATGGAGAGAGACTGTTTACAAGGGCCTGGAGGGACAGGACAAGGAGGAACAGCTTTATACTGACAGAGAGCAGGGTTAAATGAGATATTGGAGGGAAACCCTTTGCTATGGGGGTGGTGAGGCCCTGGCACAAGTTGCCCAGAGAAGCTGTGGCTGCCCCATCCCTGGAAGCATCCAAGGCCAGGCTGAACAGGGCTTGGAGCAACCTGGGATAGTGGGAAGACAGCACAGCCCGTACATGTGTACGGACTCACCCTTCCCAAAACACCTCCCTCCACAGAGGATTCCTGGTGCATTCCCTTGCACCAACCTGTCCTCTCTCGTGCCTCCAGGATGGCGACGGTGTCGAAGGACGGCAC